TCTGTTTGCTTCAAATGTTTCAACATTGATCAGAATTCATGATGTATTTTGGCCCAAAAACTTTCAAACGGTTTGAGCCTGTTCTGTGACAGAAAAGGTTTTCAACAAAAAATGCAACTCAAAAAAAATGTTACGCAACGCTTGTGTGTTTCTAACATGTTTTGAAAACAAAGTTGACATAGAAATTGTGGAGAACGTGTCATGCGTTTTTTTTTACATAAACGTACACTGATAGGCATCATATTCAGTGAAGAACTTGCTGGCATTTTTTTTGCTAGACTTGAAATGCATTTATCTTCTGAGAGAGGGGGGGGCAGGGCGTTCCCAAAAAGCAACGATATTTCTTCAATGGGAATTCCAGGATCCTAAAATGGATGTACTGTACCATATAAGGCCATATTTTGGAGGGATATCCCCTTACATAACCCTAATATTACCAAACCTTTTTAAGCCTTTGTTGTTGTAAAATGGTCAGGGCTGGCAAATTACACCCAACCCATGTGTTTTAATAGAAAAACACCGGCTTAAAATATTTTATTGCTGGTGTCAAAAAATTGCGCCCTATCAGTGTCATGAGACTACGACTACAACGACGACTACCACTACGCCTCAGCCTCAGTCAAATGATGCCTTAATGGTGTCATGATGATGCCTTTATGGTGTCAAAGAAGTGATGCCTTAATGGTGTCATAATGATGCCTTACTGGTGTCAAAAAAGTGATGCCTCAATGGTGTCACAATGATGCCTTTATGGTGTCAAAGAAGTGATGCCCTAGTGGTGTCACAACATTGATGCCTTAATGGCGTCAAAGAAGTGATGCCTTAATGGTGTCACAAAATTGATGCCTTAATGGTATCAAAAAAGTGATGCCTTAATGGTGTCACAACATTGATGCCATGATGGTGTCATGATGATGCTGTGACAGTGTCATGCCACAGTGAAGATTAAGATACCCACCAAGTCCAGAGTCTGGACCTCAGCATCGTTTAGTTTTTGGGTCATGTTTTTTTGGGTTCAAAGTAGTCAGAAAGGTTCAAAGGTAACAAACACCAGAAAGAACCATCCAAAGTCTTCAAGAATAATTTTGTCTCATAGTCTTGGTCCCCATCTAAAACTATCCATACTATACTGATTGGTTAGTGACAGTGAAGTGCCACACCCCACAAAACATGTTTGCCCCTGGATGAAACAGACCCCCATGGCATCTTACCGTTTTGTTTTTGGCACCATCGCGGCGCCAGTAAAAGACACCATCACGGCATCTTATCAATTTCATGGCACCATCACGGCGCCAGTAAAAGACACCATCACGGCATCTTATCAATTTCATGGCACCATCACGGCACCAATAAAAGACACCATCACGGCATCTTCTCAGTTTCATGGCACCATCACGGCACCACAAGAAACCAGGTTTATAACCCCCATTAATAATAGATATGATTGTTATCTAGGAGAAACAATAGTGAACAAATATATTTATATTATATATATATAGTTTCAATGGATTAGGACTTATTTACATGCCAGTATAAGACACCATCACGGCATCTTGCTTGAGGCCCGGATTCCTGCCTGAACTTGGTCACCAAGTTGTGTTCCTTGGCCTTGGCCGGATGCAGCATGGTGCCAGGAAACCCATGGGCCAGATCATGTCTGGCGTAAATGTGTGTTTAGGTGATGAAACATGCAAGAACATGTATGACTCCATTCCACCCAACCGCTTGCTGTTTTTTTTGCCACCGAGCAATCCGATGGGAGCATGCTGGGGATGAAAGATGTTGACGAAAACCAAGTGGGTATGGCTCAAAATATTGAATCTGACACATCCATTCCCTAGGACATTCAATCTTTTTGATGATGATTGCAAACTATGACATTTCAAACTGCTAAACATCAATCTCCCCAGACTAGACTTGTCAAGCAGGTTTGAACCGGAACGTGTTGGAACTCAATCAAGTGTAAAACTGGCTTTATTTCGTTATGATGCCGTGTCAACAAATGGAATTAAGTACATAGGATGCTTTGCTCATATTTTTCCTTAAATTTCAAACCTGCTTGACATAAAAACTGGTACACGCTGCTCGGCCACCATCAGATGTTGCAAAATGTTGCAAACAAAAAAATAGAATCTTCCAGAAGTGACAAGGAATATATTGGAGGATAACATGAACAAGCAATGAGTTAATTTCAGCTCAAACTGTTTGCAACACCTGATGGCAGCTACAGCTCCTGTGCGCTGGCTACAGCTTCTGTGCGTTGCCTGCCATGATCTGCCATGATGTCCTATGATGGGGTGTTTTTTGAAAAGTGTGCGTGCGTGCGTGCGGGCGGGCGGGCGGGCTGGCCGGTGCGGGCGGGCGTGCGGTCCGGTCGTTTTTCTTGCGGGGCCTGGCGTGCGGCGTGCGTGCGTGCGTGCGTGCGTGCGTCCTGTGGCGGGCGTCCGGTGCGGTGCGGTGGCGGTGCGGTCGGTGCGTTGCGTGGTGCGGTGCGTTTTGCGGTGGCGGTGTGCGTTTGCGTTTGCGTTGCGTTGTCGTTGCGTGGCGTTGCGTGGCGTTGCCGTGGCTTGCGCGCGGTGCGCGCGTGCGCGCGTGCGCGCGTTGCGCGCGTCGCGCGCGTGTGCGTGTGCGTGGGCGTGTGCGTGTGCGTGGGCGTGTGCGTAGCGGGTGGCGTGCGTTGTGTGCGTGCGTGTGTGCGTGCGTGGGTGCGTGCGTGCGTGGTGCGTGCGTGCGTGCTGGCGGGAGGGCTGGAGGCTGTGCTGGCTGTCTGTTTTTTTGTTTGTTGTTTTTTTTTTTTTTCTTTCTTTTTTTTCCTTTTTGTTTGTAGATCAAGGCGGGCCTACCGGCGGGCAAGGCCGTCGTACTTTCTCTGCAGGCGACGCCGATCCACCTCTTCTTGGCTCAGAAGATCTTTGAGTGCCTGGATTCAGGAATGCAGGAATTAAACACAATAATAGTTCGCACATTGGCTATGGATCAGATTGATCAGCCCCAAAACGGATGGTTGCCTACTCAAACATACTCAAACTGATTTTGATCCAAACCCATGTAACAACCAGGCCTCTATGCGGCGCTTGAGCACCCGTATCTCCTCTCCTTTCGTCGCCCCCTCCTTCTCAAGCTGCTCAACGGCAGCTTCCTGTCGCTTCAGCCGCACCAAGAGGTCCTTTGCGGCTGAACGAAGGGCCATGTTCTCCCTCATCAGCTCCTGGCATCTCAGAAAGTTGTAAACATCATCACGGCATCTGATATTACAAAAAAACTAGACACCATCACGGCATCTACTGTATTTAAGAAAAAACTAGACACCATCACGGCATCTATTTAAGAAAAAAACTAGACACCATCACGGCATCTATTACAAAAAACTAGACACCATCACGGCATCTTTAAAAAAGAGATCTAGACACCATCACGGCATCTATAAGACACCATCACGGCGTCTCAGTCAAGTTTGTAGACACCATCACGGCGTCTCAAGTTTGTAGACAACATCACGGCGTCTCAAGGTTTTAGATGGCTATACCCCCCCTCCGCAACAGTCCTGTCGCTTTAAAAGCAAAGAAAGGAAAGAAAGAGAAAAGTGGAGTGACATGATGCAAAATTTGCATCATGTCACTCCACTTTTCTCTTTCTTTCCTTTCTTTGTACTTCCGCTTGGCGTTTTGTCCGCACTTGGCCCTGCGCCCTTTGCCGCCTTTTCCTTTTCCTCTCGCCTTTGCCCCGGCGCTTTTGCCTTTCTCTCCTTCTTTCTCTTCATCATATGAATCATCTTCCTGGTCCTCTTCCGCCTCTTCGGCTTTTTCCTCTTCCTCCTTTTTCTCCTCTTTCGGTGGAAGTTCCCGAAGAAACTTGTCCAGGAGCTTCTTCAGCTCCGGATCGAAGTCTTCATCAGAAGACTGGGGCTGGTGTGGCGGCTGGGCCTGCGGTTGGGCCTGCGGCCGGGAGGGCTGGGAGGGCTGGGAGGCCTGGGAGGCCTGGGAGGCGGGCTTGGGCAGCTCCTGGAATCGCTGCACCAGCTTTTCCAGCTCAGGCCCAGCAGTCTTAGGCCGCTGCATCAGCCGCGGATCTGGGGGCTGGTGCTGGTCGTGGTGCTGCTGTTGCACCGGTGGCTGCTGCTGTTGCACCGGTGGCTGCTGCTGCATCGGTGGCGGGGCCATCATCGGCTGCTTTTGCATCTGCATCAGCGGCGGGGCCATCATCGGCTGCTGTTGCATCTGCATCGGTGGCCGGGCCATCATCGGCTGCTGTTGCATCTGCATCAGTGGCGGGGCCTGCTGCTGCTGCTGCTGCATCATCATCAGCTGTTGCTGCTGCATCATCTGTAGCTGCTGCTGCTGCTGCTGGGGCATCGCGGCTGGCATCGCGGCTGGCCGGATTGGCCATGGGCCTGGGGGCTGCTGCTGCTCGTGGTGCTGCGGCTGCTGTGGTGGTCGTGATGCTCGGGCTGGGGGTTGCGGTGGCATCACTGGCTTTTGCTGCTGCTGCATCGGTGCAGCCTGTGGCAGCGTCTGCTTCGGTGGGTGCTTCGGTGGTGTCATGGGCTGCTGCTTGCCCAGGTCTATGGTCTGCTGCTGCTGCTGCTTCGGCGGCTGCTGCTTCTGTGGGGGGAGATTGGAAGGCATCGTCTTTGCTGCTGATGCCGGGGGGAGCTTCGGCCTCTGCTTTGGTGCTGGTGGGCGCTTCGGGGCTGTTTGGGGCATCTGATTTGGTGCTGGTGGACGCTTCGGGGCTGTTTGGGGAAGACTCTGCTTTGGTGCTGGTGGGCGCTTCGGGGCTGCCTGGACCTGCTCCTCCTTCGGCCTCTCCTGCTTTGGCTCCTTCTGCTCCTTCTTTGCTGGCTCCTCCT